ACCAATTACAGAATAGTCGCCTTTCGGGCTATTGGCCTACTCGGCCTCTTACCATAACCGTCCCGGTTGAAAACCTCTTGAAGCCATTGAAATGATACAAATGATTGCAAGGTATACTTTATGTTAAGTTTACGCACCATCTTGAATGTAATGTGACTCCCACCTGAGGTGTTGACATCCTTTTTGATGAAGTTTTATGTGATGTCTATAGGTAACAAAATATGTTCGAATATACGTGTTAATTTATGTTTATTTAGAAATGGAAAAAGAATGTGATACGGCTGTGTGAAATAACTGGATAGTTTAAACATGTATATATATGCAACGTCACCGTGATACTGGAGACAACAGTAACATGATCTCACTAAAACATTTATAATCGTGATAGGTGGTGAAAATATTTAGACAGGGATATGGGGGACAAATATGTTGTTGTATAGTAATAACTATACCCCAGAAATACTTTACTCAAATAAAAGAGGCAAACCCCTTTACACATCCATAAGATATCGATTGTCTAGTTGTGACTATATCATGAGTGTATATTTGTTTCAGCAGTATTGCAGTTGTACGATGTTGCCAAAGCCACTCGGGCATGGCGGACCCAGCCGTGTACGTCTCTCTGGTGTCGGCAAAGTAGTGTTGCTTTCAGCCAGTTGCAGGGTAGGACAGGTGTTTGTGATATGTTATCCTTAAAACTGTGTTACGACAAACTAGGGCACTTCACGCCCAGACATGGGTATATCCCGTCTGTTGTACTAAAATTGCAGCTATAAACTTTCACTTTTGACAAAGTTACATGCATATACATACTTTCAAATACATTCACCACATCAAGTAGACATTGAGATACATTGTTATATGAGAAATAGGAATCACTGATTGCAATGATGTATTTATGCCACTGACACCATCATCATTATAATAAACACCTATAGATGCAAGGATAAACGTTGGTCACGGCACAGGTGTCAATACGCATTGTTAGAGAGCACACGTTAAATATCATCATCATCATCATCATCATCATCATCAACTGTCATTTGCTCACTGAGTTTCAAGTGTCATTGTCAGGACTGCCGGACTGAGTGGTGCTGCAACTAATTATATCCGCCATAAAGTAATTGACTGAGCAACAAGTAAATGATGACAAATAGACAGGAAAAGTGATATACGATTGGTGTATATTTGAGAGGAAATATTTGTATATATAAATCATGTTTTGCGGTGAGGTGCATCCGTTACTCGAAAGTATGTAATAACTATGCAACGGGAAAGTAGGACTTCAGTTTGAGGCCTCAAATAACTCGTGTGATTTTGGTTGGTTTTGCATTTATATATAAACCAGGTCTGACATACAAATTTCATACTTAGAAACGCTAAAATTATATCAAATCAAACGCGGCCATCTCAACAACCTCACGGTTAGAAATACGCGCTTACACTGCGAAGGAACTATTATAACAATCCGATCGGCCTCTGTTCATGTATGTTGTGTGAGTGAGTGATTTGGATCTGAACGCTGTGTTCCAGTTCTATCAAGGTGTGTCACCTTTATGTTGAAGGAAGACCCGCACTGACGCGGGCCTTTGACGTTTGTAACTTTGGTTAAGCCTTTAAGTAAGGGTTTGTTTGTAGCAGGGCGAGGATTCATCCCACATATGACACCCTTAACTTGTTAGCTTGCTGACTTTGGATCAGAAGATCCAGGGTTCGAATCCCAGAACGGGACTCGGACATTTTATGACCGTTACATGTTTATGTTGTAGAAAATAACATTCACCCTTGTCACTATCGAAATCTGTAACATAAATGCACAGAGATCGTGCCTGAAAATATTTCTACCGTCCTATAGACAGTAGCCCATTCTACTGTAACGTTCAGTTACGCCAGACAGCCAATCAACTCCCGGTTAATGAGCCATAACGGCCGGTATCACACAGGAAGGTTTTCACACTGTCGTACGAAATAGACACGTCATGATGTAATTTCAGTACTGGCCAAGCACCTGCACGGTAGTCTGTGCCAGACCCTGGAAAATACATTCAAACGAGTCCTACTCAAGTCTAGAATGACTGTACAAGTCTAGATTGCTTCGCCACTCGCCCCTTCTTCTGTATTTTATCTATCTTTAGGGGTTGTTCCCTCTTATAATATAGATGTGGATTTTCTGTCCAGGTCAGCACGAAGATGCTGTGGATAGTGTGACTACGTAACTGTTCCATAGATACCCGTTATGAGATTTGTGTTAAAAGATAATTGTTTAAATGACTTCATACAGTAGTGACTCTCGTCATGGACCCTAAATATAGAGACTTCAGTGTCCTTCTCTCATTTAGCCAGAGTTGACCTTCTTGATTCATCTATGTATATTTTCGCTTTAGAAAGTACAGGTGACCGACTAAGACAGTCGACCATTCTTTATGTAACGTACATTCGTCCTCCTTCAGTCATGAAGTGAGTTATTTGCTACTTGTCATGGCGCAAGTGGTATGGATGTTTGGGACGACAATATGAAGGTTTATTTATGGGGAAACTCGATTCTTATTGGAATGGGAGTTGCTGACCCTCAGGGCTCGTAACGTCGACAATTCAAAGACAACCGTAATAAATCACGTTGTACGTATCAGCACGACCTATATCTCTAGTTCAGCAGCACGCCCTATGAACAGTGGTCGTTAAAACGGTTCTTTACTATGTTGAAAGGTCTCAAAGGAAGTGTTACATTAATGTTTGTGATTATCGATTGTTTGTACCTACCGCTGGTTCAATTCACATGGCCGTCACGCCGAAAACCCGGTGTTCGATTCCACACGTGGGTAAAATGTGTGAAGCCCATTTCTGGTGTCTCCCCCCGTGATATTGCTGGAATATTGCTGTGTGTGGCGTAAAACTAAACTCACTCACTCACTCACATGGGCCAGGCCGTGCAGCCAAATGGTAAAGCGTCCGCTCGTCACGTCAAAATCCGGGTTCGATTCCCCAACATTGGTACAATATGTGAAGCGCTGTGATAATGCTGAAATATTGCTAAACCCCAATTAATTCACTCACCTAAGTATAATAATAACAGTCCACTTGTAACGCGCTGAATCCATGCACAGTTCATGATCTAAGCGCAGATGTCTGAGAGGAGATGACAGAGTGAGTGAGTGAGTGAGTTGGGTTTTACGCCTGACCGGACAATTCACACATGAATATGTAGTGTATGTAGTGTATAAGCGAAATTAAGACTATGGTATTTATGTTGTACGAATGTTATTCAGAAGAATATAAAACATCAGGCCATTTATAACCCTGAAGTAACAGGTGGTTTTGTTCTTATGTGACACCACACAGTGTTTGAAACACATTTTCTGCTGTCCCCCGCCGAAATGTATCTGGAACACTGCATTGCGGCTTGAAACCAAACTCAGTAACCTACCCACTCATTTTTTATATATTCTTTCATCGTTTTTAAGTTTCGATAATTACAGGTGGACACAATTATATTCATCCGAGGGAGCGGTGACAAGTATCCCTCATATACACCATAAACGTGACGTGAAGCATAGCCTTTCAAAATGTTTTTATAACAGAGGTGATGAGGGGGGACCATGAGGGGCTTTTTGTCCACGAAATACGTTTCCTTTATCTCTTGGTCATCTTTCACTCCTTACTCAATTCAAACTTGTGTATTTAAATACTCTAAAAGATGTATGCGCCTGTTAAATGTTAATTGTTCTTTTATGAAACGACACATTCCCAATGCAATACAATACTATTATTTTCATTTGTTAGTATGCAGGAATCGGCTGATACTGTAATCAAATTACCTATCTTGAGATTTATGACACTGTGGAACCTGTTAATTTGAGTAGCTTCTTTAATTTGAAACCGCACGACCAGCGTCAGGTTACCACACTTCTGATCAACCGCCGATAACGTGAGACATATGTGTGTGATGTTGTAGGTTGCTATGTATACGGTAAAGTCAGAAGGTGTAAAGAAGAGAATAATTTGTCACCACTCGCCCTTCCAATTGTCTAAAGCGGCTTGTCTTCAAATGAGAGGAAAGCTCAAACCAAAGGGAGTATGTTGTGTATCTTTTAATAGCGCTTCAAATGATTGTATAACAAACACATTTGCCGGTATATTTCCCACACTCGATGGAAGATTGTATTTGTATTGGTGCAGAATTAACTTTGAAAGATAAAAGAGGAGCCGTGTAACCTCTTCCCTTTGTTTGAGGCATATGAAAAGTTCGTGTAGTCGTTCAAAGAGGCCTGTTTTATTGTGTGTCATCGTGTCCCGACGGCTTGAAACATTGGCCATACTATCAATCGTTTGACCCGTGAAGCTCCGGGTTAGAATTAACTTTCAGCAACCCATGTGTGTTGCAAGAGGCGACTAACAGGATCGGGTGATCAGGTTTGCTGACTTAATTAACACCTGTCATATCCAAATTGGGTAGATCGATGCTCATGCTGCTGATCACCAGATTGTCTGGTCCAGACTCAAGTATTAACAGACCGCCGACATATAGCTGGACTATTGCTGAGTGCGGCGTTAAACAACAAAAAATCGATGTAATATATATACGATATTAGAACAATTACACCAAACACGCAAGTCCTTCAATTCACCAATGCTGGTCCTATTTTTGTCTTTGCTTCCCATCGGCCACTCGCCCTGAGTTTTCATTCCGAAAAATATAGATGTTTTCTTATCTCAATGTTCAGTCGAGGTTTATTCCGTGATGTGATAAAAGAACACATTTACCCCTGCAGGCTCATTAAATGCAGCTCAGCTTGATCTTTCTTCATCTGCATTCATTAAGCGACTCTATGCACATCTATACTTAGTGAAAGGCATTTACAAAGGGGTCCGTTTAATATAATGTCGTAAAATGACTTTTACAATTAGTGAAAAACACCTGCTCTTGCTGGTTGAAGTTAGAGACAGGGTCCAGTGACAATTAGCATCAGATACGTTTGACATCACTCTCCCTACTGTTTCAGGCTCTGTCCGTGTTTCCTCTTCTTCTTGATGAGCACGATGCCGGCTATTTGGTTGCTGGAGATCAATCGCCAAGGACTGTTTGCCACCACCAACATCACAGCCGTCACCGACATCGCCATTGCAGGGGTCAGTTCAACTGTTTGTGCAGATCTGGACACGCCATTGGTCACTGGTCCAACCCAGCGTAACAACTAAAGATAAATCTGGGTCACAGCATTATTTATACTTAGCAACATAGCTGAGCAGCTTGACTGACAATCTCTACCATTGCTTTAGTTGTCTATTCATTAAGTTCAACTTTGTAAAACTATCCCACAAAATTACAAGCTTCAAGTGTCGCACCTTACTATGAAATATGTGTATTTTGTCGTAATTCAAATTAAGTGAACATACAGTTTAACATAAAACTTCACTTGATAACCTGTGTTAGGGAACCATTGAGACAAACATATACTGAACCCCAAAAACAACACCATACCGATAGAGGTTTCTTAAACCACACACTTTAATTATCTCTAATTGACAATCACAACGGAGGATTGAGTTCACACCTGACAATTATGGTTAATACATTTTCGGGAATCACACAAAAGGAGTACACGCAAACAAAATCACCAAAATGGTACCATTAGGATACCTCAAAGTCACAGTATCGTGTGCGGCATCCATGGACATCGATGACAGCGTTGCATCGTCTGTACATGGAGTGAATTAGCCGGTTGATGAGGGTCATAGGCACATGGGTCCATACTCTGCGAAATACCTGATCGAGTCCAGCCGCAGTTGTCAGTCTTGGTGGAGGTCATTCAGTCTTCTTTGAATCTCGTCCCAAAGGTGTTCTACTGGACTTAAATACGGACTGAGTGCAGGCCATTGTAGGTTTTGGATGCCATGTTGTGTTAGGAAGTCCAGTGTTACTCTGGCAGTGTGAGCACGAGCGTTGTCTTGCTGGAAGATGTGATTTATGTGACGTCCAAAATGTGGTACAACGTGGGGTTTCCTCGTCCTGGACCGAGATTATGGAACACCACGGGACTCTCTGGTTCTGACCGATTTCACCCCACAACATGATGCTTTGACCATCCCACGAGTCTCTTTCAACAATACACGCATTGCAAAACCGTTCCCCACGCCTTCGCCATACTCTCACACTGCCATTGCTGTCGAAACACAATATCGGCTTTAATCAGAAAAAAGCACAGTGGTCCATTGTCGATAATGCCAATTTCGATGCTGAGTTGCCCTCCGTGCAGCCTGGCCAACTTGCAATTGTCTCAAGGCTTGGTTCCTCTGATGTCTCGTAAGTCGTAGCATGGCGATTGTGTCAAAACAAGTCAGGCGAGTTTTGGACTCGCTTTCGTTGGTAGGGCTGTCTCGATATATATGACGTGCATCTTCATTTTCACGAATGTCATACAGAACCTATTACCGCGTCTGCCTTGTTAGGTGCGTTTGGTCGATATGATTTTCATCTGAAAAGACACTGATGTTGGTAATAACTGTCAATTTGGATTGCAAAACATGTTAACAAAAAGATACAATCATAATAGAAACACCACCTTGCAAGAACAAAATTTTGCATTTGGTTTTGAAAGGTGACGTTTCTTTTACGGTTCAGTATATGTATTTTAGGAACATCAATGAGTGCAACGCAATCACCTTTTGCAAGTACAACTTTACAATACAATTACCACTGTAGCCAAGTATCAATAGTTTCGTCCCTTAACTGTCACATGATCCGATGCACAAATTTACGAACACAAATTTGCCCCTGAGTGTTCGCACTTTAGGCGTGCTCATGTGTTTTGCAAAGCTGCAAAACTTCTAAAAACCGCTTCAGCTCAAGCAGCCTAGCCATGATAACAATGACATATTTTCAAAACAGGTTACTCGCTGTGTTTTGCTATTTCATAATTTTTCATACACTTAAATGTACTTTACATTTTAAGTTTATGTCCATATTATATATATGTTTTATTTTCTTCTGCAAGGTCCGGGTCCCGATTCGGTTAACTCCAGACACCTGGGTATTGGTGATCGAGGAGAGTCTGCTCTATCTGATGATCCTGGGCAGATGGCTCCTGCCCCGTGGCGAAGTCAGTCGGGAGCAACTCTCTCAGCTTCTCTTCAGCTTCCTCGCTATTGCCTCTGATATCATGGAGTTGTTTTCCCTTTTTGACGAAGACGTCGTGAGAGGCAGCATCGTCGTCACCTACGTGCTCCTGTCAGTGTGGACTTGGAGCATTCTTCAGTTTACCTTAGTCTTAACCATCTACAACCGGCCGCGGAGAGCCAAGGTCGTCGAGAAGACCACGTCAATACTGATGGAACACAAGGAGGGAGTCAAGTTGGAGATCATCGCCATCTTCATCAGTATGCTAATGCAGGATGGCCCATTCCTCTGTCTGCGATTGTTCTGTATGCTTCAGTTTCAGTTATTCACGTACAGCGTGGTGTTCTTCACTGCCAAGAACTTGCTTGTGATACTGCTGTTAGTGTACCGATTGAGTATCCTGTGTTCAGAGAACTACTGTAGAAAGGGACACAAAGGCGACGGGCAGGATGAGCTTGAGTTTGAGATGAAGAACGAAAAGAGTCCCCTGGATGACAGATATGTTGCCGTTAATGAAGGTTATCAAAGTGAAAAACGTAATGGTGGAGCTGTGAGACAAAGGTCAAGGCCAACGTCTGAAGCAGCTAGCAGTATTGGAAGTTTGAATAAACTAGGCATTCGAGTGAGTCATCCGGGAGAGACGGACGTCGACAAAGAGAGGTTGAGTCTCCGGTTCAGCAGTGGAGAATCAGTTTCAATGAAATCGGAAGGACCGGAAGTTGAACACTTACCGGAACCCATAGAGCAATCATCGGGAGAAGAAACCATTCTTAAAAAGGCAGATTCGCTGGAATCCTGTCATTTGTGACATTAGAATGCCCAACATTTGTTATCTTGGCCTTATCATTCTCAATCCAATCGATGCATTGTCCAAATGGAAAAGCGTTGCGGGCATCCTTCAAGAAGAGAGCTTGAAAGCACTTTCATTTGGCATGTCCGGAAGGAAATTCGCGACGATGGTTCGTTGACGACGAAGACATGAATACGACTTAGGTCTGAGTAGAGCGATGTGGAATGATGGAAATCTTCGCCTGTCGACTGGGAAGAAATCCGAAGACGCGATACCTATCCCAGTTCAGTTTCATACGTTGCTCTTGAAGAATTAGCAGCCAGACACCCGTTCCGAGTCTGGTAACAGACTTTGCTCTAACACCTTGCTGGAAGTCTTTTAACAGGCCATTGCTGCATTGCTTGAATTGGTCGTCGTCTCTGCTGAGTGACCTGATCAAGTTTCGTCCCACCTCTGCTACCCCCTACTCTGCTAAAATATATTTTGTTATAAAACTTCGTGAGCTCGAAATCCCATCGTATATGTTACTCAAAAGTAGAACACTTGTATTTTATCATGATGCTATAGCTCATCGTCATGGTTCATGGTCCATTTTCTTATATGACTGTTGTTACTCTCAGGGCACATAACTTAACACAAGTTACGTAAAAGAAGGATGTCCTCCAACGTATTTCGAGTAATATATTTGTCGCATTACCCATATTTCATCGGATCCTAGAACCTGAAATATCAAAGCTAGACCACCAAAGATATATATTGTTATGAGGTAGTTCATCTGGAAGGGAGGGTACATACTGACAGTTAGCTACGAGGGAATTCGGAAAGGTAAACGAAGACGGTTCTTCATGAACATCTGCATGTGTTGTTTGGGATATTTTGTTTTTCAAATTTGTTTTTTTATGTTTATGTTTTATATATTTGTGGGGGTTTTATTTGTTTTTCTTTTGTTTTTTGTTTTATTTTTTATTGGTTTGGGTTGGTTTGGAATGAGGTGGAGATGGACAGACCAGGATTTGGCAAACAGGGATAACTCACCAGAAGAAGTGGAACACGTGTAAATAACTACAAGGGGACTAAGCTGCAACATAATTCAAGCTCACGGCAAGATTTCAGTTCCATGATGTCCCCGTTGGCATACAACAACAGACATCATATCAAGTCACCTTGTCCGATCACCCTGTCTCGCGTCTTACTACAAGAAACATGGGACTGATGACCCCTTCAAAACAAGGCCCGTTTGGGGTGAGCCTATATGTAATCGGATTCTACTGACCGCTTGGGGATATAACCATTAATAGCTTTACTTCATATATCATGTTATTATATAACTTCTAAGCATTATTTTCAGTATTATGTCTATACATCAACTTAATGATGTTGATCACCTACTTGTACATTATTGTGATATTATTGTGACAATCAAACTATCGTCCTTACATCTAATGTGAGTTATGCATGTACAGGTCCGAGATATTCTTCGCTACCCACATTGTGTCAGTAGCTCATCATCTTTAAACAGTTCATGTCGTCAATATGTCAATGAGTAATAGTTAATGATAACCAGTGATGAAAGGTGAAACGTTTTAAGAATACAAGCATTGTTCACTATGTATTTTGTTAATATGTTATGGTTGTCGAATGTCTGTTTGTGTTGTAAACGAATATGATTAATGTGTTTGGTGTCACAGATGACCAATGGTATGTTAAGAAACAGAATCCATTCATAAACCTACGATATCATGAGCATGTGTGTATTATTCGCCATCAGTTTGGTAATGATATCCTGTTTCACAGGTGGCACCCGTCATAAACACATGCAAAGGCAAGTCAACTGTTTTTCTGGAAGCACACCAGACTTACTTTTTTGTCACTTATGTGTCTTTCACATGTCTTCCATAAAAACTATACTAATGCGTTGAATACTATAACCCAAAGTCATAGTAAGATTATAAACATGATAGTAGCCAGGAGAACTAAAATATGTATACAAACGTATTACAATATATTTAACAACCTCTGCGTTTTTAGTCACGTTTTTTTCACAACGTTGTGTTTCAGGTATTTAGGATCAACTAATGTATTATTGAAAGTGTGAAAGCCAATCTCAGCTATGTGAAGCTGACAAATCAGGGCAAGAATTGGATGAAAGCCCACGACGAACAGATCCTGGCAGAGATGGTCCAAAGTTCTTTGTCGTTAAGTGTATATATAATCTTTGGATGTTTGCAGCCAAACGCCGCTTGCAGCGATTCTTCCAAGTCTGTAAATGATTGAGTCTGGGCCAATACTGATGTGATTGACACTGTGAGCACTTATCCACGCAGTTCGCAGCCAGATCACCGCGTGCTCACGGGAATAGCGTATTTAGTCGTCTCATTTGACAAACATGATATTTACCCGGAATCCCCAACGGGTTGTACATATATGATAATGGCTGTGGGGTAGCCTAGTGGTCAAAGCGTTCGCTCGTCACGCTGAAGACCCGGGTTCGATTCCCCGAGTGGGTACAATGTGTGTAGTCCAGTTCTGGTGTCCCCGTGATTGCGCTGGAATGTCGACGCAAACCATATTCACTCATTCACTCACTTACTAAGTGGTTCATTCACTCACTCACTCATGTGTCACTCACGCAGTCACTCATGATTGTGTCTAATAGGTAACGATCAATAAAGTTAAACCTATGTTCTCAGTTGATTGTAGTGCCAGTATGTCAGTGCCTTTAGATTGACAAACAATTCATCTTTCCAGGGGCTCCGTTTGGTTAGCGTAGCTACTCTTTAAACGTTAGTCCGAGACAGGAACACGTTGTTTCACCCCATCAGCTTTCTGAGGCAAGGGAGTTAACTCTCTTTAAATGTGGTAACCAGATTTTTAAAGTCGGTTAACCCCCTTCCCTCGGAAAGCCAGCGATTACATGATAGTCAGGCGTATGTTACGAGCCAGCCAAGCAAAGCGAAATTCAGTTTATAAATGGTCAACAAAGACGGTGTGTCACGTAAAGATGCAAACTAGCTCGTACGGTAAGAAGTTATATACAATATGAAAACTAATAACATGTAAATCTCGGGCTAAGGGTAGAAGCACACATAAAATATATATCTAACGTTCCTATGCGCTACTGTATCGTAAGCGCCTCCATCACCATAGCAACAAGAGACAGGCGAAGAGTTCTACTGCAAAGAACACTGAAGCGTGAATGGTTATACTCTTTGCACTTACTTTGAATTCCCACCGCTCTACTGCTGACTGCCAGCGCATTATTCGTCTTATTACTTATTAATAACGTTGTCATCTTGCATCTTCTCATCTCAACAGCCACAAACGCTTTAGGCCCACGCCGTTCTAAATATTCCAAGCTGTATAATGGATAGTTGGAAGTTTATTCATTTCAACAGTCTAACGTTTCAAACTTGATTAAATTAAAAAGGGGCATAATTCATATAATGACTATTGATGCTCTGAAAATTACTGTCATTTGTTGATATAACTACACAACTATTATCTTCAGGCATGTTTTGATATGGCGGCTTTTAATCATGTAGATATAACAGTTATTTCCGAGTCTGTGTCAACCGACCAGCCCTGGTTTATGTTGAAACGGCTTACCGCTTAAATTACCAGCAGGACTGATCTTCAATCTATACTTGACCTGGCTATGGTTGGTTGGTTGTTTTGTTGTTCAACGCCGCACTCCAGGTATATTCCATCTATATGGCGGTGGTCTCTAAATAATCGAGTCTGAAACAGACAATCCAGTGATCAACAGCATGAGTATCGATCTACGCAAGTGGGAACCGATGATATGTGTCAACCAAGTCAGCGAGCCTGACCACCCGATCGTGTTAGTCGCCTCTAACGGCAAGCATGGGTATTCACGGGTAGAACAGATCCTGGCAGATATAATAACTATTAGACTACTGCAGGGTGTCCAAAGTTCGTTAAGTGTATGTATAATTTTGGGATGTTTGTAGTTAAATGCCGCTTGCAGCGATTCTTCCAACTCTGTAAATGATTGATGAAATGTTGATCTACATGATAATACACGCACTAATTCAACATCCGTGTATTTCATGGCTCACTCACCACGGCTGACTCTCAAGTGCCGTTGAAGTTCTTGTATGAAATTGCATTTGGCTTTGGACCAGAAAATCGAAACTTCAGATAACAGTGTGAATAGAATCACGAAGGCTGTTATCTGTCACCGACGATAAAGAGGTAAAGATTTCTTTGCCAATACAAATATTCTAAAAGCGAATAACCACAGTTTAAATGCCATCACAATTCCACTTAACAACTGTCGGGCGAACCAGTCAATCATGTGTGAGATAATAAATATTTAAACTGATCCTAACCAGACCATCTTTGTATACCCTTATTGATCCAAATTAAACATTATAGTGAAAACCCCTGTACAATGCATTTTATCCACCAACCAACCGACCAAATATTTCACTATCAAAATACGAAAATCCAGGCCTACCCCCTACATTGTAGTGAAATCACCTGTACAATGCATTTTATCTACCTACCCACCGACCAAATATTTCACTATCAAAATACGAAAATCTAGACCTACCCCCTACATTGTAGTGAAAACCCCTTTACAATGCATTTTATCTACCTACCCACCGACCAAATATTTCACTATCAAAATACGAAACTCTAGACCTACCCACCACACTCCGGTAACCGCCCTATAAGTGTGGACTGAGTTCAATGGTCTATATGTGAGCACAGTTGCTCTGGTCGCGTTATGATTCTGTGTTTTTGTTGGGCAAATCAGTTTGTCAATGTATTGATTGACTAATAAAATAGCAAAGAATCCATGGCAACGGGACAGACATAAAATGTGTCTATTTCAAGGCGTCTGTTAAATGTCGAGAACTTATTTATATCAGCTCTCCATGTGTATACTAACTGAATATGTATCAGACCGTCTTGAACACCTACTTTGTCCAGATACAGTTATAGTTCGGACAAGATAAAGGGACGATCGAACATTCCTCATATGTAGGTTTTACATAGACACTAGGGATTCATCATTCAGAAATGGGCTTCACACATTGTACCCATGTGGGGAATAGAACCCGGGTCTTCGGCGTGAGGAGCGAACGCTTTAACCACTAGGCTACCCCACCGCCCCTGAATGATGGCATTATAAGGTGATGTCATGGAATGATGGTTTATGCTATATGCAATGATATGCGGTATGTGATATCGTGAGTGAGTGAGTTTAGTTTTCCGCCGCTTTTTAGCAATAATCCACTAATATCACGGTGGGTGACAACAGAAATGGGCTCCACACATTGTGCCCATGTGGGTAATCAAACCCGGGTCTTCGGCGAGATGAGCGAACGCTTTAACTACTAGGCTACCCCACCGTACGTGATATCGAATTATGATAAATGTGATATGGTATAATTGTATTTGTAATAGGTAACATGTTGCGAGTGAGAGAGTGAGTGAGTTGGGTTTTACGCCGCTTTTAGCAATATTCCAGCAATATCACGGCGGGGGACACCAGAAATGGGCTTCGATGCAGTTCCGAACACTGACACTGTCAGTATACTTCGTCTGTGAACTACTCAATGGGATTCTCGATCAGAATACATCCTAATGCTCAGCACGGTGATTGAAAAGAGCAAACATGAAAGGCCAGCTCTCATCACCACTAAACGCTCAAATAGAATTGGAGCAATCTCGTTGGATTAAAAAGAAGTTGCAACTGGATCTAATTCGACATTGATCATTGGGAAACACAATTCTTGTTATTGCATCCTGAAACATGGATGAGTCAACACAGCAACAGACTCGAGGCATACACAGGGGCATGCTGGCCATTTATTGGTATAATCTTTCACAACCTTCATCCTAGCGCCATCAATCATCGGGCTCGCCAAATGATATTAATCACATTATTGCATATATTTCTGTCTAAAGAACATTTGGTAAATGTCATTTATTGACAACAATAAAACTATGGTCTAGCCATTGTGGCAACCGGCATTCCAACGATAACAAACAAATACAAATTAAGCAAACAGAATTTAATGTACATCCGCGCTCCTTTTTTTGTGTTTGAGCTTATAATGTACATTGGTACTGTGATCGTGATAAGACACTCACCAGACTATTAAATAAAAAGGATTTTTTTATTGTTTTGAACGGCACTCTCATTACCGGATATGGAATTATCTTATCTTATTAATAACGAATGCATAAAATATAGAGCTCCTAATAATGGGCAAATTAATGATTGGAAAATGCAATCTAACAAATCACGTTTCAGGTCAGATATTACAGGGCGATGTTGTGTGCATGCAGCGCTAATTGTACTTAGCACCTCCTCTAGAGCATACCACATGGGGAGTGTAATCACTGAGTAGAACTGTAACCAACGAGTAAGTTGTGAGAACGGTAGATTGTACCATCATCTGCTAGCTACACGTCCTTCAGGGGAGAGTCGTTATTACCCTGATGTCGTGGCGCTGTGGATATAGGAGATCGGCTAATAACTGGGGCAACATGAATAATATACTACCCGTGGCTACTCAGGCATAACAACGAACATATGGTCAGGTTTATTGACTTACAATGTATTGGCACGGCTGTGTGTGTGATGATTGCGAGGATGTCAATATTTATGGCCTTTTCAACCTTTCTTTTTGGCACGCTTGAAGAACGCTACTTTGCACAGCGAATTGCCGTGCTCACTTTTCATTCCTATGTGAGCGATCGTATCAACAATCATCGAATATGAGAGCTGACAATACACACTGTTTTTGTTCTTAACTGTGCATATAACTACCCATGTAGTCATTTATAAAGTTGAAAATCAAAATAATCGCAATCTCTATCAGTAAAAGCTCCAATTTGATCCTACTTGTAGAGATTGAAATTCTACACTTATGCAAGGAAGTGAGAGATTGAGAGAAAGATTTAATTAGCATAACAATATATTTAACAAAAGCCTGTTTCAAGTATCTATATACTAACCAAGTCATCTCAACTGTAA